CCAAAACAAATAATAGTAATAAAAATACTAGTGAAGTGCCATAAATTCTTTAGAGTAAACACAAAATAAAATCAGCCTCATGGAAAAAACTATTTGACAAGAAACTGACTAAAAGATTAAAACAAATAGTAATTTCTTCTAAAACACCTGGAGCAAAATGCCTGCCTAGGCAGCCTGTAGGGCCAAGTGATAACCGCAGTGGACAAGGATCACTCAGGAAAGACAAGGCAGTTAATAAATTCTTTATGCAGGTGTTAGCTGTAGAAGAAGCTGAGAGGAGTCTTGTATAGCCTATAGGTCTGTCTGAGACTAAATAATCACAGGAGAGGTGCTGGGACAATGGTAAAAGTGAATACCAGCCACTGACCAGACCATCCACTCCTCCTAAGGGAGCCCAGTGATGGAATAGCCAAAATACCAATGGCAATATTTAACTCCTGCCTTAAAGCTCTCTTGGGATCAGAAAGATGTAACAGGTGGAAAATTAAAGCACTGCAAGGGGACCTGGGATAGCAACAGCATGAAAGCCTGGTAGTTTCATCAGTCAAATAATTAAAAGAAAACAAATTAATCTTAGACTGTGTGGTTTGTTTCAGATTTGACTCCTGTTATAGTTAAACCTTAGTTGAGTTATCAGTGGCTGTAGGTGGCTGCTGTCCATGTGGCAGGGAAGAGCTGGAAAACACAACATAACTGGCTGAGCCCCTCAAACTCAGTGCTCTCAGTACAGGCCTCACACAGCTTTTTCAGAGCCAGTCCCTCCACCTGAGGAATTTGCAGGACCTGAGCACTGAGGCTTGATAAACAGCAGCAGGATGCACTGCTGGGATTAATAGACTTTTTATCCCAATTGGTATGGTCACTCTCACGTTGTTAACACTCTTGTGACATCTTGCATTGGCTACTGCAAAGGTCCAAGCCTTTATCTTGGTGCTTCTTTCATGAGAGCAAAATTGCTGTTTCTTCAAATTAATACTGGATATAAGTATTTCTGCCAGTAGCACATCAAAGAATGAATCTGAATTGTCAAAAAAGCTCAAGGGAAGCCAAAGTTTTAGGAAGCACTTAATGCTGGTCTGATTCTGCTTCTTTTAAAACCAGTCAAGCTTCACTGCAGCTTTTTAGTTCTCAGCTGGGTATTAGAGAGTTTATTCGTGCTAAGACTTTCAGTAGGGCTCTAAGGCACATCTTCTTGATCATAGAAATATAAACAAATGACCTCTCCACTCACCCCTGCTATGCAGCACAGCTCTGAAGTAGTTTCCTGTTTGGGGATGTTTGAAATCCAGGCATGGCCAGATTGTTTCTGGAGATATTGATTTATCAAATCACAAGACATGGGGACACGATCTGAAAGCACAAACACAAAGGGCTTTTGTCTGGTTGCTGAAAAGACCAAATATCTCCTTGTGGTCATCCTCCTCAAAGCTGTGTCTCCTCCAGCCTGCTGCCTGTTTCTCACCCCAGCAGTGCCAATCTTTCATGGCACAAAGAACAGAGCTACAGCAAGCAAGGCATTGATACCAGTCGTGGACTAGCCAAGTGAGGAATAAAAACTGCTGTACAGGGTTACAAACCTGCCTACAAAGCAGCAAGCACTGCTCTCTGGAAGAAAAACAAATCCTTACAGTCCTGTTTGTTCCCCTCCCTTAGAGGCCAACGTGCTGGCTTGTGGAAATGTATAACTCAGTGCTGAAATTCTCTACAGCACTGGTGACTGCAACTTCACTTTTCCTCTTAAAATTCATGTCTGCCTCAGATCACGATTTCCAACAAAAATGTGCAACAAAAAATAATCAAAGACAGAATCTCCTCCTTGTTTTGACTTTCCACATGCAGACACAGAAGCATCTGGAGTTTCTGATAGTGACACCACAGCTCTTGATAGAATAAATTCATGCCACCAGAAACAGAATGTCCAGGCTTGCACACCAGATGACTACTTCAGAGATTTACTGCTTATTTCCCACAGAAAGGCTCCTTTAATTCTCTCTCTGAGTGTCTCAGCCACATGGGTTTTGCAGCCTGATAGTGAAATGAATTATAATGGAACAGTAAAAAACTGCTATTGCCAGTGAATTTTGCATGACAAGTGCTGACATACCCTGACGATGGGCCATTGGTGAGACTGATGGACAGACAGATCACCCTGGTCTGAATGTAGCAGGAGGACATGGTTTGTTCAGACATGGTTTGTTCACTTGTAATTCAGGACTGATACACCCCATCCTCCTCTGGAGCATGGGGGCTGCACAGCACACCAGCCCTCTGCCATCATTGGGATGCGAGGTGCATCTGCCTTGGAGAAAAATCCTTGGAAAAAGCACTTTTCATGTCACTTCTGCAGTTTCACCCAGAATGACAAATCACTTCCTTGGGTTTTTCTTCGAAACAAAAATGGGGTTTTTTTTGTATGGATCAGCAAGTAGAAGAGTTGCTTTTTCTTCCTGCCTACTGGCAGAATTGGTTTTATCTCTTTTCTTCAACCCAGCTGTCCCTGGACAGTCTCCATCTAGGCAGAGATCTAACAAACACTGACACGTGTCTAAGGTACAGAAAGAGGAAACCAAATTTTGATCCCACTTTTGCCATAGTAAATCTAAACCAAATCTCCTGATTTCTGAAGTGTAACTGCCCTTGTCCCACAGCTGCCACCTGCTGATAGAAGAAACGAAGATGCAGGAGATAGCAGGGGAGATCTGCCATTAAGAATTTCTGCTTCTTCCTAAAATAACTGATCCATTGGGATGCACCATCCTACAAGATATTTCTGTCTTCCGTTAACTGCTTCTGCTAATAAAATTTATTCCAATTTTGTTCTAAATCTCTGTGACTTTCCTGATTTTAACAGAACAGTTTGTTTCAGCTGAGGATTTGCCATTAGGACCACATAACTGCACCATAAATTCCAAGACTCCAAGCTTTCATAGGGATGAATATTAGAAATCAGTCATGGTTTGGTTATTTGGGAGAACTGTAATCTGGCTGGTAAGGAATGTACAGTTTGGGAAATGGATCTGGATTTCAAACACCACCAGCATTCAAGTACAATCAGGCACCACAATGGTGTTAGAAGAACATCTGGATGTGGCTGGATTTTCTTTGCCTCTCTGCCAGTATGCACGGGCATGTCACACATTCTTTCTTTATAGCAGTGTAATGTAGAAAATTCTATTCTCTTCTTTCAGCAAGATCAGATCTGTTGCTGAAAAACGTGTCATTTTTAAATTATTTTTATTTTTAAATTATTTTTATTTTTAAATTATAGTTAAAAAACTATAATTTTTTAAAGCTTTTTAGTAATTTATGACAAAACACACAATATATATGGTCTTTTCCTTCCTGGTGTATTTCCCTTCTCATGTGTGCCAGCCCTCTGTACAGCCACCCACTTTGAACTCAGACTCCTTACAAATTAATCAATATTTAAACCTGAATACACTCAATTATTCATTTAAACAACTGCCAAACATTAGTGTCAATAAAAAGCTCTGGAAAAGATGGAGAAAGAAAGGAACAAAGAAAGCTGTTTGAAATGCTCATAAACAATGAAGAAAATAAACATTAGGGAAAAAGATAGCTCATCAATAAAGATCATCTTGTAGATCAACAGCAGAAGTCACAGACATGAATGTACATTTGCTATTGTATAACTCTATAGTCTGCAAACAATGCACTGAGCTCAGCTGCAGAAATCCTACAGTCCAACTAAAGGCTAATGAGTTTGTACAGGGGCATCTTGACCCAAAATCTTCTGTTATTGGTGATGATGAAGATGAAGGGGTCTTCAAGCTGACTTCCAGTTTTGAGTTTGAATTTGGATTTGATATTTGGCAAAAATTATAAGATTAATATTTTACTTGCAAGACAAATAAATTCACTGAGAGGTTTGTGAGCACCAACGCATGGATTTCTATTTTGCAGGACACTTCCTCCAGCTCTCCAGAGTGCTGATAATGTATTCCCCACAACACAGCAAGCAGTACTTAATGGAGCCTTTTGAAGGTTTAGCCCTCCCCAGTAAAGCATAGTCATATCAAAACAAAGTAAGTCACACAAGCAGATTATGCATACACACCTTACCAGTGAACCATCTCTAAAATGCTCTGAGCAGTGACATTGCTGGGAAAACTCCTTGGGACACCTGCTGCCCAAATAGTGCCATGGCTGATAGATACTGCAGGGCCCTCCACATGCAGACAGTTGTTGCTTTGCCCAGTCCTGGGGCCAGGGGGATCCATGAACATTGGCTCCATGTTTTATGGAATCAAGAGTTCTGCCTGGTTTTCTGAAGAGCCTTTCTATCTCCACCCTCTAGATTATGACAAAGTCTGTCCTAGGTGCAGTTTCTATCTCTGAGTGAGGACAGATTCCTGCATCTGGCTCCAAATTGCTTGTCTTGGGTTGGAAAGCAGGATGTAACCAAAGGTATGTATTCTATCACCATCTGTTGAAACCAAGTGGGGCAGTGATCCTTATCTCCTTGGGAGATACCTTCTCTTAATGGGTCATTTTTTTTAAAACCAAGTAGGGCAGTGTTCTCACAACCCATCCTTCCTCCAGGAGATATCTTCTGTTAATGGGCTATTGGGTGCCACTGCACGACTGATAAGATTACATCATCCCATTGGGAGATGCTCCACCCAGGGGGAGGAGCCAAGCCTTTCCTACCTAGGTAAAAAAACTAAGATTTGGAACATCAGAGCAGCCTCTTTCCACTGGATTCCAGAGGAAAACCAGACCCTTCCACATCATCACTGGACCTTTGGAGGAAAATTGTGCCCTTCTACAGGAGCACTGCTCCAACTGAACCACAGTTGTCACTGCAGGAGGATGCAGCCACCATTTAATGGGACTGCTACCAACACCCTGACTGACTGACAGGATGCCAGGTTGTATTCTGACTCTGTCAGTGTTTGGGGTTTAGCATTATTGTATTTTTTTTTATTTTCAGTTTTCCTAGTAAAGGACTGTTATTCCTATTCCCATGTCTTTGCCTTAGAGCTCCTTAATTTCAAAATTATAATAATTTGGAGAGGGGGAGTTTACATTTTCCAATTCCTGCCTTTCTTAGCAGACACCTGACTTTCAAACCAAGACATTGCCCCTTCCCACATCAGCAGCCTTGAACTGGATCTGCCATTAATGTGCAGATTGCAGCTGATGCCTCACACACACCACCCCTTCAGCACCAGTGATGCAAATGGATCCAAGTTTGACTCCAAATATTTTTGGTGTCAGTGTTATCCTTTATATAAGCCCCTGAAGTTTTGTGTGGTGGAAATTAGTGATGCAACACTTAAATGCACACTTTTCATTAGACTGCACAAGCTGGCACCCACCAACCTATTTCCACTCTCAAACATTACTGTGCCAGGTATGCAGTGAAAATAAATTTGATAAGTGTAAGTACTTGTTTAGCTTCAGGGTCCTGTTAAGGGTATCTCAGAGAATTGAGAAAATAGTCTAGACTATTATATTTTTTCCTGCCAGCAAAAATGTATTTACACTCTTTAAATAAAGGAGACATTATTTTTGTGGGGCAAAGATTGATTCTTTCAATTATTTTGACTGTTTTATCACAGACAGAGGGAATGAATGCTCATCGAAGTCAGAAGAAAATGTCTTTATTTTCCCCTTGCTGTTGTTCTGTTTTGTTTGGTGGTTTGGTTGGTTATGGGACTTAAGTTTGGGGGGTTTTTGCTTTTTTTTTTCATTTTAAAGATTTTTCTTGTATCAAGTAATCATTTTTTTTTCACTTAAAGCATTTCTATACTGTCTTTCCTGGAGTCTAGGAGCAGAAACCATATTTAACTCTGAGAGCTCACTCTTATAAAAAACCCAAGAATTTACTGTTCTAGTCACCATTTGCTGGAAAAATGAAATTTTAATTGATGAGATCACATCTTCTCCAACAGGAGTCATAGAAACCAAAATCCAAATGTTATCTGACTGCAAAAATTTGTTTTACTTTATTGTGAAACCCCTTAGCTCTGATTTTTACCTTGATATATTTTTGGCAGGTGCTCCAGAGAATGTCTGAACCCACAAAATATGACCTCAATCAGAGGACAAGCAATAGTGAATTATGGAACATTTTTTCTATGCTTGAAACAGTGGGATCTTTGCTCCCTTTGTGTGAAACTTCCTTTCTCTGCCTGATGGCATTGACATTGCTCCCTTTCTCCCTCTGCTTCCAAACCATCATATCCACATTTATCAGCCAACAGTGTCAGAGCTGCTCTCAGTATCTCAGTCACTGCTGTGCTACATCAGCATTTATGCAGCATCACATATGCCAGCTGGTACCCAGTTCCCCATTAGGATTTAGTCTCAGACCCACAATGGCTGTTAAGTAAATAATTCCATCAAAATCACTGAGTATTAGATGGCTAATTCCTATCTGGGCAGTTGTATACCTTTGAGGACCTTGGTCTTGGCCACACCAATGTCATTCAGAGCAAACTATATGTGCCTTGATTAATTTTTTAATGAGGCCAAATTTAAGGCTGTTTATGATGGGAGTTAAATGTTATTTGTCCCTTTACAAATCACTAGTCCAAATAAATGTGGTAAGAAGCAGATCTCTTCTAAAGGCTGTAAGTTCCCAAGGGCAGAATAATTAAATTTTCCAAAATACTTATCATAATTATGTTTTGTTCAGAGATTAGTTGAGCTCTCCTCATGGGATCAATTATGAGTCATCCTAAACCCAGAAGCAAAAAAGTTTTTTGGTAAATCTTATTGAAATGAGTACCAGCTGTTCTACACAATAAAGTAGATTTTTTCCCCCTTCATTTTAACATGCTAGTGAAGTTATTAAAACATTCCTCTTGGTCATTCTCCAGCATTTTGCACAAAGCACTTGAAGGTCACTGTGGCTGGCAATTAGAGAGTGGGATATGCAAAGGATCTCTCGAGGAGCCACGAGCCAGGTGCAAGAGTCTGTTTAACAAGAGCATGTGGTTTGTGTGAGAGAAATTAATATTGCTCTGCACTTTCTGATAGAAAGAACCAGCAGGTTAGAAGGTTAGAACAGAACAGCAGAGAAAATCAAAGGGCCCAATTCTGATTATCTCATCATTTCCAACCTTCAGCAGCTCTTGTGGAAGCAGATTTCTCGTGTGTTGCTCCTGCAAAAAAGGTGTCATGCTATTAACTTCAGCGTGAGGAAGGTGGTTTGGGGTCCTGATTGTCCCGGTATGTTTCTAGGGACAGTATAACTGTCTCTGGATTTACAATAACACTCCCTAAAATCACATGTCAATGGTACCTAATTCTTTAGCTCTGGGATTCTGACCCCCTGTGATGCTGTACAGGTGTAAAAACTGCCAACAGCTTGAGTACTGAACACAAACACCTTTTGTTTATGTTCAGAGGTGCTAGAAATTGTCAACGTGCTATCCAAACCCTCTACTTGAGACAATTAAAATATTCATGAGGCAATGGTCTCCAGGCCTTTTCTGCCCCCAAAACAGGACTGGCACAGGCCAGTGGATCCAAGAACATTTCACAATTGAACTCATGTTGCACAATGACACTCCAGGCTTTGCTTTTGTGTTTTTAAGTCTTTGACACTTTTGGAAAAACTTTGTACATATCTGTATGCATTTGATATCTTCAGCATTTAAAAGATAGTCCTGAAGATGATTAGAGAGGAAAAGGAAAGAGCAAGTGGTTCTCTAATGTCTTAAAGAAGATTTGCCTTTGCATTTCGAGGCTGTAGGTCCCTTTCAGTGGGGGTAAGGATTGATTTAGAAATGTCCCACACTGGACTCCTGGCTGGATGACACCACGGTATTGCTGGTAACACCATAGAAAAGAGAAGCTTCACATCTTGTATCATTACACAGCCACTGCCCATCTTTCACCTTTGACTGGTTGAGTGAACTTGATGATCAGTTAAAATTACAAAGGAAGGATATTCTAGGGAGAAGGGTATTTTCTATAGGGAATAATCTGCCTGTGACAAGAAAAAGCAGATTCAATTGTCAGGAATTATCTTCTCCCATTATTAAAAAAAAAACTTTAGTTTTTTGTTTTGTTTTTTTGTTTGTTTGTTTGTTTTATTTTTTAATTGTGACAAATCTCCTTTCTGCATCACTTAAACACCTACTGAAAAGAGAAAGACTTCAGTGGGCAATTTTTTTTCATGATGCTTTGCACTAGAAAAGCATTTATTTATCAGCTCTGACTGTGAGTATCATCAGCCAATCAGTACTGAAAGGTAAATCAATTGCATGAGCCAAACAGATCAATAAAAAATGGAGCCATTAATTTTGCTCAAGACACTTTACAGGATATCATTTGCCTAACAAGAAGGAAACACAATTACATCAATAACCTCTTAGGGTTAGAAAGGTCTGCTATAAGAAATAATTGGAAGTGATTATAAAGATCAGATTTCCACATTTACAAAGATTAAAGCATTACAAAGTGTGATCTCTCCTTTGAAAAGCTATTTCTTCAACTGAAGGGTACTGTAAGCAGAGGAAGAAAAAAATAACATTTGCATTACCCAAAATTCAAGCCAGACAGTTTAGGAGAGAGTGTTTAGAATACATATGATGCATTAATCTTACCAACAAGAGAGGGCTTTTTCTTTATTGAAAGTAAGTCTCTTATCAAAGTGATTTCTATCCCCATAGATTTCTATCCCCATTTCCATCTCCACAGGTCACCATGGTACAAATACCTGTCTTCAGATGGCCCTGCCCAGCCTGGGGAATCCTTATGTCAGAGGGTTTCCTCGTGGGAAAAGCCTCCTGCTGACAAAATCAGCAGCAGAATCAAGCTCTGTGTGGAGATGTAGGCTATTATTACTCCATGTGTCTGCTGTAGGCTTGTCTCTGAAGGACACAAATGACCCTCAGACTCCTCAGAACCACACAGCTACAGCAGCTGATTGACAGGGTATCTGCATGACTTTATTCATGCCTAATTTTTCAGGCAGAGATGCGTGACAAACTGGCAGCCCTGTTCCCCAGAGCAGTACCTGGTTATTTTGCTTCATATGGATTTCACAAGCACAAAAGCATTTGTCAATTCACAGTTACCTGCACTGGCTGTGCAGGTGATCACCTGGCATGGCTGCACCCAGCCAGACCCCACTGGATGTGAAAATACAGCATAAGATACTGACCAAGGGTGAATCAAACTGAAAGCGTGTTGCCATGAGCCCCAGAAGTCATTGAATAGAATCCTAAAGCAATCTGGGTTGGAAGAGACCTTGAAGATTACCTAGTTTCAACCTCCCTGTCTATGCAGGGACACCTTCCACTATCTTGGGTTGCTCAGATCCCCATCCAGACTGGCCTTGGACACTTCCACAGATGAGACATACAAAATTTCTCAGGGCAACCTGTTCCAGTGCCTCACAGTAAAGAGTTTCTTCCTAATATTTAATCTAAACCTGCCCTCTGTTTGTTTAAAGCCATTCCCCTTTGTTCTATCTCTACCTGCCCTTGCAAAAAGTCATCTCCAGCTTTCTTGTAGGCACCTTCAGATACTCCCTCACTTAATTGGCACAAAGCTGTGTTAAAGGAATAGAGCATTCCTCATCTCTTAACCCTTTTCTTGGCCAGCCCCATGGCCTCAGGAATTTTTTTAGGCTTCCTCTCTCCAAGCAAGGGCTAAAAAAGTCTGGAAAGGTCTGGGGAAAAAAGTGAAATCAATAAAAGTATCTGTACAATTGAGGGGATGGAAAGCTTGAGAGTGTGACTAAAAACCAATTAAATACAAGACTAATGAGCAGGCTGCCTGTTGTCCATCCAAGTACTAATGCCAAATGCTGCTGAGTGCAGAACTCCCCTGCAAATTAAATACTAGAAAAATAAAAGTCTATCCTGAAAACACCTAAGATATTCTAGCTGAAAGATTTTTCCAGAACCAACTTTCTCTTAGAGCACTATGATATCATCTCAGCACATGTGGAGGATCTTTTTACTGAGCCCTTGCTCCATATTTTTCATATATTGATATTATATTCTATCATTTTGGTGGGATTGCTTCTGCTCACTCAGTTTGGGTGTAAGAGCAACAGGTATTTCTAAGTCTGACACATTGGCTGTGCTGGTAACAGCAGTGGGACAGAAAAGAGACACAAGCAGGATAATAAAGAGAAATTAGGAGACTCTCATGTGCACTGGAGTGCTCCTACCAAGCTAAAAAGGACTGATGAGTCTGGTGTACATCAGTGACTTAGTTAAGAAATGGCTGCACAAACAAACAGGCAAACAGAAAACCTGTCAGGACTCTGTCAGGGCCAGTGCACACAGCTGACAGTGACAAAGCCAAAGATAACACACAGCAAAGAAAAAGCCCATTAAAGTAGCACAAGAAGATAAGAAGGGAAATTAGCCAGGCACCAAAGAGCATCCCATTAGAGTGAGGTTTGGTGTTAACAACTGCTACTTACAGTCATCATATGGCCTTAATGAACAATTTGTCTTTGCCAAAGCCTGATGTCCCTACTGCAAGCCACCATGTTAGATGTCCTTTTAATGATCCATGTGTTTCATTTGTAACAACCCAATTAACAATCAGGCTCCAATAGCTCTAATTATCATCTACTGTTAATATTGTTTCTGTGCTGTAGGGAGTTTGTAAAACCGCATTTTGCACAACTGAGATTTTCTAACTCAAAGTCCTGCTCAGCTTGTTAAACTTCTGGAGGGGAATGAACTGGTAAGAACAAGAAAAATATAGCTACAGAAGAAATGTCACTGAGCTGCTGCAGCAATTTCTCCTTTCAGGCCCGATTCTTAGCTGCAAAGAGTGTATTATGTGCACAAACCATATGACCCAGGGGTTGCAAGAGCCCATGGGCTGATGAACTCTGGAAGAGAGAGATACTCTCGGATGATTTACTTGCCAGAGTGCTGAGAGAGGAGCACACAGTGCTGGGTCACTGCAGCTCAGCATCACTTCTTCCATCCTAGAAGCCAGCATGCTGCAAACAGCCAAAATCAGGGGGAAATTGCTGTCCCAGACACACAGGGGGCCCAAGTGTGCACAGCTGTGAATGAACCAGCTTAAGAGCATAGGTGTTGCTGGTGAACCCAGTTAATGTTATTTAGCTCAACACAACCCTCCCCAAACAAGGCATGGAAATAGCCAGGTATACAAAGAGGATTTCAGTACCTCCCATAGGCCAATACAGAGGTGGTAGAGAAAAACTCTGATTTTATTGAGGGGCAAGCTAGAAAGTCTGGCTATTTA